CCCCCCCCCCCCCCCCCCCCCCCCCCCTACCGCTACTGATAATTGTCAAAGGGCAGCACGACGTGCATCCTTCGTGTGCACGAGCGGCAAGGATAAGCACGTAGGGGGCGTGCCACCCGCACACGCTTTTCGCGCCGCTGCCCCTATTCACATTTTTGGGGGCAAAAGTTCATGCTCCACTTTCCACCCTGCGTTCAGACACTGTTCTTGGAAAGCATGTCACTATCCCTGGGAGATAACATGGCCGCAACCGCGCGGACACCGCACGCAGACAGCAAGCCAAAGAAAATGACCAACAACACCAAGACAAACACCAATACCAACGACAACATCCGCATCAGGAGCCACAAAAATCAATAACATCGCGAAACCTTGACACGAGTCAACCCTTGCAGGAGACCACGCAGCAAGAAAAATTGCAGAATTAAGAACAGCCAGATTGGAAGCATGCGCGCGGGGGGGGGAGGGGGGGGGGGGGCTCCGTGAGCAATTTTGGCGACTACGCCCGGACTACGCGTCCTCATCCATCACCGCCGCGCTTGGCGCCGTCAACGCGTAGAAGTCTCTGTGCGCCTTCCGCCGCTGAGCACGTCCGACGCGGACGCTGACGACCTGCGAGCGCAAGACAAGGGTAAAATACAAACCAGCATCGAGCGTGAGACACGCGTAATCCAAACTATCCAAAGCGATCAGACCCCGTCACATGTCGGAGAGCGAGTTGAAAATTTTTCTCCAAACAACAGGAGAAAATTGCCCATTGTGTCGCTTAAAGAGTAAAGAGGGGTGGGGCCAAGAGTCACCCACATTAGCAATGGAAGGGGGCCGTGAGCGAGAGAAAGAGGGCACGGGATCCACCCTATCGAAAAAGGTGGTTTACCGCGGCCATCGCGCAAAATAGCGATATACTGTATAGCTCAACAAGCGGGGGCGTGTTCGGTTCACGCTCGCACTGCTTCAATTGTCCCCCTGCAGCGCACTCTCACATTCTCGTGGGGTTCCCACCCAATCAATCGCAAAGCAACGGCGGCTTGATACAAAAAAAAAACGCTGTGGAAGTGGTGCCAAGAATATCGCGGTCGAAGGGTTGTTTCAACAATGGCAACACAGCGCGCGCTCGCATGTACACAAAAGTCAACGGAGAGTCCACGGGGTTTGCACTGATGCATCGACGACGACAAAACCAATAACATCAACCCAACCATAGCCGACACTCTTCTCCCGCCCCTGCAAGCAAGCCAAAACTCCTTCCAATCTCCCGCGAAAACCCCGATGCGGCCCCTTCCCTCCTCCCTCCCTCACCTCAGACTGCTCGCGTTAGACTCGCGGATGGCGTGCAAGTCCGCCTTCTCGAAAGCGGCGTTCGAAGGCCTGTCCGGCAACGGCGGCGGCATCGCCCCTCCCGGACTACCACCCCCCCCCCCCCNNNNCCCCTCCCGGACTCCCCCCCCCCCCCCCTCGGGCCAGGTCGGGGCTGGACTGCAGCTTCGCCAACAAGGCAGGCGTAGCTCGCTCCATAGAGACCGGTCGCGCTGGGAGAGGCGGCGGCGGTAAACGGCTGCCGGCGAGGAGCGGCGGCGGCGGCGGCGGCGGAGGGGGGGGCAAAACACAAGAACGAGGCGCTGTCTAATCGTATTCACGGAGTTGTTTCCGACTGCGCTGTGGACTCCTTGGCTTCCCCATACACGCGGTGACACGCGAACACCAACACATAATAGTCACTTGCTGCGCCTCGTGGGGATGTCCCCACCAATCATCCCAAGAATACAAGTCGCCCCGCGAGCTTTTCATCAAAAAGGTACAGGTTGCTAACCATAGCATGCTCTTCGCTGTCCTGTTTGCGATACATTCTCCGCCAAAAGGATTTGTCGTCAAAATGGCAAATAAGCCAAGATTTCTTCCCGGTGTCCCGTTTCCGTGCCTTTGTGAACAAACCAACCCACTGGGTTACGTGACACGCAACGGGCATGGAAGCACCAACGCGCACAACACCGTCCGTGCCCTGTTGATGCTCAACGGCGTCAAGAATAACCGCCTTTGAATTAAATAAAGTACAATTTTCCAAAATCAGCGAAGGCGGGGTTACAACCTACACCTCGAGCATCGATGATACGTTGTTGAGCTAGACGGACCGCACTGCCTTCCTCCAAGCTTGCCGCCCACACCACATCATCGGATACCTCACACAACAGGCGGCTCGGCTGCCGCGGTCAGGGGCATCGGGACACACTCACGCATCCCTTCTCCGCAATATACTCGGAGAAGGACCTAGAGAGCGTGCAGCACACACGTTACACATTAAACCTCGCAAAAAAAACAAACGTCAACGAATGCGTTAGAAAAACACGGTAGACCTCGCCAAGAAAAAACACACGTAGACTGCTGTACGGCAAAACCACTCACTGCGAGCCCCCCGTGGAGGCGAAGGTGGCCGCCATGCGCGCCTGCTTCGATCCCTTGAAGGTAGGCGACGGCGTGAACGACGTCATGAGCAGGGGGTTTCGCGCCTCCTTCTGAGGCGTGCTCGGGAGCGACTTCGCGGCCGGGTCCTTGCCGCCCTCCCCACCGCCCCCAGCCCCGGGCCCCCCGCCGCCGCCCCCCGCCGCAGCCTTCACGCCCTCCCCTCCCCCTTGGCCCCCCGCTGCCCCCGCCCCGCGAGAATCTACCATCGGCCCCCCGCCGGCGCTAACCGCGCTGCTGCTACTGCTAGCGCTTCCGGTCCGCCCCATCGCGGTTCTCCCGGGGGTCGAAACGTTCAGCTGTCCGCTACCCCACCCGCTGCTACCGCCGCCGCCGCCGCCGCCGCCGCCGCCGCCGCCGCCGCCCTTCTTTCGCGGCGAAGGGGACCCGATGACGGAACCCCCACCCCCTCCACCCGAGCTGACCCCGGCGCCCCCGCTGCGGCTACTAGTCTGGCGGTGCAGGGACGGCGACGCCGGGACGCCGCTGCCGAACGCCATGCTGCCGGTGCTGTGGAACACGCCGTTGTGGAGTGCGGCGCGATTGGGGGAGGACGGGCCTCCGCCGCCGCCGCCGCCCCCGCCCCCGCCCCCCGCGCCACCCCCGCCGCTGGGGGCGTTTCTCTCCCGCCGGCTGGTTTCCTTGCGGGTCTCCTTGCGGTGCTGCCACTGCATGTCGGACTCCTCGATCGTCCTGAGGTACTCGCGCCCGTTGAACCTGCGCCCACCATTGTCCGTTGTTTGGTCGAGGTACAAAGCGGTGTTTGTTTCTGTCAGAGGGAGACAGGTGGTACGCTAGAACAAGCAGCCAGCTCCCGAGCGGAAACGGATGGCCGCCTTCTGGCAGTTCTCGACGCCGGACCATTGCTGAATTTCATGCTTGGTTCCTGGCGAACAAGCATCCTCCTGCCCGTCCCGTTTCAGTCGCAACACCTGCCCGTGTCAGGCTGATGCTTCTTCGCATCGGGTAACGTGCGTCTTGGCGATGCTATGGAGGAGTCGTCAGGAGCTAGAAAAAACTGCTGTTTCCTACAACAGGCTTCGGGAACACATCGAATGCAAGGGTATAAAAAAAACTTACAGCGATGGAGGTTGTGGCGGTAGCGGGTTGTATCTACTACGCCATGTTGATACTTCAAGTACGGGTCGCCTCAAAAGCAGTGGTGCGACAACAACTTCGACAACTGCTGTGGACAACAAAAAAAAAACTCGGCGGAATCGAAACTCACCGGAACGGGAACCCTTCCTCGTTCTGCCAGGCGCTAAGCTCCCTCCTCAAGAGAGTGGTCAGGTTAGGTAGTTTCTTGAGCTCCTTGTTGATGCCATCGATCACCTTGGCCTTCCAGGGAGTAAGAGGTAAGGTGAGGGCAAGCAGCTTGTACAGCCGGATATAACACCACAACACACAATATTATGGGATGGCATGGAGCAAACAAGCAAACACGACCACGCGACAAGGCGAAAAGCGTCATGTGTGATGCCGAACGAGCGACTACCTTCGGCACTAAGCACAACGGAGGCAAACAAACCCATCCCGAAAGGACGCGCCAACGGGACCTTGTGTTATACGGCGGTGCATGCAAGATAGGACACCACGGTTGTGTCGGCTCTACCACAGGAGTACAAGCAGCAAAGCACATCTTACTGTACTGCCTTACGCATTGCTCGAAATTCGACAGCACCCCAACCACATCTTGACTGCGAACAGGCAATCCACGCTGGCAAACGGCTGAGCAAGGTTCTGGCCTCCTCGGTTTCGACCGATCCACCATCCCACTGCTTACCGTTCGTACCTGTGAAAGAACTCCCGAGCTGCCCCTGGCGCGATAGTCCAGCTTGAACGAGTCCGCGAGCTCCCGTTTCTGCCACGCGAGCACGACACACGCACAAACACACACGACGCATTCATGGCCAAAATAAATCAATTCGTGCAGAATGCGTCCTGTGTTTGCCAACTGATCGACGCCGGTTGTGGACCAAAATCCGAGCCAATAGTACCTAACACCCACGGAACGGCAAGCCTCCTTCGAGGCCCGGGGCAGGGGGTGATGGTGTTGACCATGATCATCTGTTCGGGCTGACTGACCCCATCCCCCCTCCGATCGTAACACTCGGTCCCTTCCCTTCCCTTCCCTTCCCTTCCCTTCCCTTCCCTTCCCTTCTCTTCGAAAGGGGTGCGTCTTGTGATGTGGGACAACCCTCAACAAAGCTCAACCCCCCTGGGTGGCCTGGCATGATACCATCACCGTCGGGGTCCGCCACCCCACCTCTCTCTCTCAGTCTCAGTCTCTGTTTCTGTCTGTCTCTCTCGCACCCTACCTCTCTCTCTTCCGTACAAGTACAGCAGCGTTCTATGTTCTACCACGCCCCCGCTCCCGGAGACGCGTGGCCAATGCCCTAACCGCTAAGGGGCGCAAACCAAGAGTGCAGCCCCGTCCCCTCGCTTGTTGCCCGCGTCCCCCCACCTGCACGAGCTCTTCGCGCTTCTTGACCTTCTCCACGATGGGAGCCGCTCGGTCACCCATGGCCCTGAGGTCCTTGACGAACTGCTCGTGCCCCTCGAGCAGGTCTTCCGTCCACAGGCCCTGCGGCACGTGCAAATCTCGGGCACTCTCTCCGAGCACCTCTTCCGCTTTCGCGCCAACGACCTTTTTGGCACCAGTGATCGGAGGTGAGGAGGGAAGNGGGGGGGGGGGGGGGTGACGATGAGGGTGAGGTCAGAGAGCCAAACACGAACGAACTTGGACAGCGGCACATGGTGCAAAACCCCTCAAGAAATGGTCGCTAAGTGGAGATCGACCGAAAAAAGCAGCACAGCACCAACTGTCCACGTACCCCCATGGTCGTGCTTTCCTATGTGCATCGTGTCGTATCTGTGCAGTCCCACCGAGCCTCTTATAACATGGACAACGCCATATCAACCGGGATGAACGGATTGGTGCTGCAAAACAAACTGCACACGAGAACCAACACGCCAAAAAAACAACGGTACTGAAGAACTGGTTGGTTAGGTCAACGCGCAGCAGCAGTTTGCCCTCCACCAAAAAAAACACTATGCGTGTATCTGAACTGGTGCCAACTAGGTGCACAGAGACGCTCACCCTGTTGTTCCCTACCGATCCAGTGACGAACCTACTACCACACGCGTGTAGCTCCTTTCGCAGGGCTCACACTCACCTCTAGCAAATCCGATATCTCCTCCCTCGCGGCCTTAAGCATGTCCGTAAGCTTTTCGGCCTTGAGCTTCCTCAGCCGAGCGAGCTCCGACTCCAGCTCATCCATGTCGGAGTGCGTTATCCCCTTCGTTGCAGCCAGGTGCTCCTGGCACGACAAGTCGACAACGTCCGCTTGGAATGAATGATGGGAGGAGAGAGCGACAGCGTGGCTGAAGGCAGGCAGGTAGGCCGCCGTCAACGTGCCCTTGGAGTGTGAGGAGAGAAGAGACTCCAACGTCCACCACGAGAAAACGAAAGACAAACCCCCAAAGCCTTCAAGCAACGAACCAGAGACTAAATACCGCCCCCCGTGGCCGGTACGCGAGGCCCGGCGGCGCTTCGTTCTTGTCAAGGCCACCACTGTTGCGGACGCCAGAACAAAGAAACTACGAATAGCTTTTCCACCATCACCAATTGCAACACAGCAGTCTCATTTTCGTTACTTTTTTTTTGTCGTTGCTCATGATTTTCTGATGCCACTGGTTAGAACCCGGGAAGCACGTGACCGACACACGACCGCCCCCGAGTGTTCGGCGTCATCCCGTACTCAAGCTGCTTGTCGCTGCCGCAGTCACAAAAGACAGCGGCATGCGCAGCGGCAGGCACAAGGCAAGGCCAACAAGTAGCACCCTACCCGGACGATTTCGGGGTAGCCAGCCGCAGGCAACAGAGTGACAGGGGGGGGGGGGCACGATGGAGGCACCGAACAAGCCAATCGTTGGGCGCCGCTACCCCGACAGACCCGAGCACATTTCCCGCGACTGGTCATGTATCACCCAAGCCCCCGTCGAGGCCACAGGTGCAGGCTGCACCACCCAACACCAACGCGCCGTACCACAACATACCTGGCGGGTCCGCTCCGGCACGCTCAGCTTCTCCCACAGGCTCTCAATCTGTAGCCTGTGTTCCTTTTTCCGCTGCGTGTGCAGCTCGCGATCCTCCTGTCGGGAAAAAGAAAAAAGTCAGTCATGGCGGGCGCCAGGTTCAGGAGGAAAAATAGGACCGACTTCGGCGGCGGAGGGATGAAAATACAGGGGCCCCGTCCGAATTACCGCACTCAAGCCAGCCTCAACGGCGACAGTCGGTAGCTTCAGCAGCTCTGGACAATCAATCTTCCTGAGCGCAAGCCAGTGCCCCCAAGACGGGAGGCGGACAAACGAGCTTACGATAGTTTCGAGGCACAGAAATCGAGACGGGCCTCCTCCTCTTCCTCCTCCTCACCAAAACAGTAGTCGCCCAGGCCACAAAATAGGAGACACAACAAGCGTGCACTAAGCAGTCGTCCCTCCCCACGCCGTCCTCTGCTTTCCACACCGGGCACACGAAAATCTCCCCGCAAAGAAAGGCGTCCACCAAAGAGCATTGCACGCGCATGGCCGCACGGAAGAACAAAGCCAGCCAGCATCACCGACCCAAGTGGGAGGACTTGGGACAGACTCAATCACGCAGGTGTTCCTTCAACAGCCGGTTCTGCTGGAAAAACTTGGAACTTATCCCCTTTCTCGAAGCGTCATTATTGCAGTGCGTCAACAAACCATGTCCCAAACCATTACTTGCAAGGCCGCGCACACTTGAGGAACACACGTATATAACGATGCTGATAAAAAAGGGGAAAGACGGTGCCAATTCACGAACCACCACCACATTCGAGTTTCCCCCCCACTGTTGTAACCGACCATCCTTCCGACAACACACATCCAGCCCGCAGACAGTCAGCACTCACCCGCATGTCCTCCCGAAGCTTCTTGAGCCTGTGCACGTTGAACACGCTCAGCCCGACGCTCGTCTGCGTCTGTGCCTCCGTCCTAAGAGCCGGCTTGTCCACCGGGCAGGACGGATCCAACGACATCAACATCTTGAAAAAAAAAACACACACACACACAAACGAAAACGACAAAGCGATCAAGGGTGCATGTAAAGCTGTTGTAGAGCGAGGGTGCCGCCACATGAACACTGGGGACAGGACAGCCGAGCCTGGAAATACCCATGCACAACCTCAACCTGTTGCCACCATTTTCCGTTGCTGCGATTCGGTGAGGCCTCTTTCTTCGGAAACCCCAACGGCAGGTCTGGGACGCGTTTGTACCATTGAATAGCACGGCTGTGAGATTGGGTTGATAATCGTTCGAGGAGATGTTCTTGTTGACCAAGAGTGCACCTGCAGGCTAATCAGCGACCACATTTTTTCCAGCTTGTGCGCATCAGCAACCCGTCATCAGTGTCGGTGGATACTTTCGTAACCGAAGCCGGAGCGAGACAACCGAAGCCCATTGCCTCCCGTGAAGGGAAAGTGAACCCATCCACAATCGATCCATGTCCTTCAGCGGCCACCGCCCCAGACCGAAGAAGAACATCAACCCAATAGATGAAGGTCACGACACCAGGTTCCGAGTATTTGAGCAGCACGTGGCGGTGGTGTCATTCACCCATCCACATTTATTGTTGGCCATGAGAACCGCTCCTTCCTACCACTGCCGGCCACAAGACAAGACGACACAAGACGTGTGTGGAGTGCGGAAGCCGTCCGTCGATGCAACGTCGTGCACAGCGGAAATAGCCGTGTGGTAAGTCGCCTAGCGCCAGTGACTGTCCCTCTTTTTTCTCTGCTGCTGTTGCTGCTGCTGCTGCTGCTGCTGCTGCTTCATTTCGATTCCCCTTTTTGCTGGTTTGTAAAGCAGTGCGCGTCGCAACACGCAAGCCTACAGACAGCAGTGCCGTCTACACCATCCACCATCGGTATCTGGCTACTGCAGAACACATGCAGTCGCACTTTCGGCACTGCTTCTGAAGTACTGGTATGCTGTTTTCGACAACAACCCTCGAGAACTATGCGACGAAGCTTCAAATGTTTTGGTGATTCGTTCTTTGCGGAACGCTGCAAACTCGTCGTTTGCCGCGCACACCCGAGCTCGCCAGGCGTCTGTGGCACGCGCGCTCGCCGCAAGAATTCGCGGTGACTGACAATCTCTATTGCCCTGGAGCGTGTTCCGTGAAGGGCAAGCTCGGCGAAACAATCCAATGCCGAACCCCATCAAAAACAACAAAAGAGAACAAGCCCATACAACGCGTGCTCGGTTCAGAAAACGTCCATGTTTCCCGCGGGAACAACAACCGAAAGTCCGTGCATGCCCGGTTCAAAAACTGCTCATATTTCCCGCGGGAACCTACCGACACATTCATTCATAACAGGGACACACACACACACAGCACACAAAAACCTGCTCGCACACCTTGTTCTGAAGGGGGTTCTCCACCGGCGGCCCTAGCTCCCGGAATAGCTTCTGACAGTCCACCACGAGGCCGACCATCTCGGCCGCCCTCTCCAGCTTCAGTACGCGCAGCGTCGCCAGGCGGCCCCTGAGCTTCTCCAGCCGCTCCTCCGAGAGCTCCCACCCCTCTTTCTCGGCCCACTCCGGCCCTCCGGACTCCTCGAACTCTCCGTCCTAAGCGAAAAAAACATGCACGGACGGAAGCAAGGAACTCGGTAAAAAAGTGAGAGAGGGCGGGGGCGCGGAGGCAGTAACAAAAGGCAGAGAGGGAGGAAACGCGGACAGGATATTCTAGCTGCTGCGCACAAAACATAGACCGAGACTGACAGCCACGATGATACACACCCGCCAGAGCGGGATGTGGTCTGCAAATGCAGGGGGGGGGAGAGTGGTCGGTCTCCCCGTGGCTCGCCACCGGACTCCACCAGGCGCATTTTTTTTAATTTTCGCATCACCAGGATTCCAAAGGGATGCCAGGAGCTGCTTCCAGAGAAAGATAGATACCTGCAGTACTCTCCCTCTCTTCGCGAGAAGCAAACTCTCAAAAAAATGACGGACGCGCGCGCCGCATTTCCAAAGGACACCCCCGTAGCCAAGCAAGCGCCCCAAGCCTACATCAGTAGCTATGTCTTGCCTCCGGTTTTCGGTCCATGTTCTCGTTGATGGTTTCCATCTCCTTGACGATGCTTTCGACGGCCCGTCCACGGTCTGCTTGCTGCGTCCTCAAGCTGTCCAGCGTCGTTTCCAGGTTCACCAGCCGGTCGAAGTGGGTGTCCAGCTATTGTGATGGGGATAAGTTGGAAAGAAAAAACATGGATACATGCATGCGACGGACGGGACGGATAAAGACGGATAAAGACGTAGGGTATGGCCACATGTTAATTCGGTTATCGGCGCCAGTACTTAGGGAGAGAGCAGTTCGTCCTTCACAGGGGTGAGTGGGGAAGGGGTAAGTAGCATCGCGAGCTTGGAGGTCGGCGCAAGGCACACCGCTACCATTGGGCCAGCATGCCTTACAGATGGCGTCGGAGTGGAGTCTCACAAGCGCGTATCGAAGGGTTCCATCTCGTTTGGTCCTGCCTGCACGTAGTCAGGACACTCAGCACCACTCCTCTCTAACACAAACATACACCGGACAGGCTCGGTAATCCAGGAAAACAGCCTCGACAAACAAGTCGTCGCAAAGAGAGGTGAGCTACAACAAGCAGTCAGCCAAGTTTCTTACCACTTGGTTGCAGTAGAAGAATGTTTCTGTCGGCTCCCCCTCGGCGGGGGTGGGAATGCCGAGCTTGCGGCTGAGCTCGATGATGTCATCCTGCCACCAAACCGCAACATGCGACAAAGAACATCCCATCGCCCAGGCATGTCCATCGGGAGGGATCAGGGTCATCGTTGTTGCCGAAGCAAGCACCAGGACATGAAAAGGGGGGGTGTATAAGTGGAGACGCGCACGCGCGGGGGGACAGGGAAGAGACAAGTGTTGCGCCTGAGCGAGGGTACAACAGGCGCATCGCGCAAGCGCAACCACACATTGAGTTTCGCGCTATTCCCCAGTCCAACTCGCACCTTTCGTGGCCAGAATACCAAGTTGCCGTATTCACACGTGACCATCTGCCGTTTCCAACACTGCCTCTGGAAGCAGCTGTGGACGAATAAGGGGCTGACCCCCCAACCACCCTTAATCAATGGACTGCATTGTCACACGCTCCTCTGTACAACCCACACAGCTCTTTCATACGCACATATCGCCAAAACTTTCTACACATCGCCAGAACTTCCTAGCAGAACCCCAAGGAGGCTTCATAGGCAGACAGACCTAGGAGGCACCGCTGGCAGGAAAAAAGCAGGTTGGCTGAAAGCGCATAGAGTGGCGAGACCAATCACCCTCACCTTGGCCTGCTGGATGTTCGCCAGGATTGTGTCCCTCTCTTCCTTCTCCTGCCTCACGCACGCCTCGCAGGCCCCCCTCACAGCCGACAGCACCTCGTTCACCACCCGCGTTCTTGCCCCCTCCGCGTCGTGGGCCCCAACCTGCCACACGTACGCACAGCGGCACAATGGAAGTCAAGACCTCCCTGACTGTTCGCCCGCCAGGAACGCGCATCCTTCCACAGAGTACAGCAGTCCAGTAATGCAAGAACGTCTACATAGCACACGAGCTTTAACGACGAGCATCGTTAGTCATGATAGCGCATGCTAGAAGGAGCACCTTCAACGTCAGGAGCGCTGTGTTGGCTCAACACAGCTTGAGTCCCAACGCCAACTCGAAAAGGAGGGGTACGCGCCATCAGTCGGTCGTTAGGAACGCTGTCCTCTCATTCAACTGCTGTATCAGTTAACATCCATAAAAATCAGCTGTCTGTGCCATTACGCCGCAGCAACATCGTAAAGGTTGCTGCGTTCCTTCCTTCGTCCAAAACATGAACTTTATGTTGAGACGATCACCTCAGACAAGATGGTTTCGAGCTCTGCGGCTGATCGCATCGTAAGCTTGAGCACTTCCCTGGCGAAGAAATCCGGCAGGTCGCCCGCCGGCGTGAGAGCGCCCGATCTTTGGCTGATGGAAGATGCTCGCCCGTTCGTTGTTTCGCTCTCCTCCTGGAAGCATGCATGCAGAGAGATGTAAAATATACGCGCGAGAATCCCGAGTACTTAGGACGGCAGGCAACCTGGGTCGGCTCTGGTCCCAAAACTCAGGCAAGTGGGTGAGTAGCGTCTACGGCTACTGGCGTTCTTTTCCAGGGGTGAGCAGCGCCGCACAGTGTGTTAAGAGACCAAAGAATGCCGGTATTCAAGTGCTTCTATATGTTCATGTTCTGCCCGCCTGGGTTGCAGACGTTGAATTTCGGAATCTACACGCCTCGGACGCGATGACAAGCCGGAAGCACACGGGACGTCCCCGCGGTACACGGCGCCTACCTGCAGCAGCGCGGGCTGGCCCAGATGTAATGTAAGGATGTGCATTTTTGAGTACCGTGACTTCACATGCTGCCCTAAATGATACGCATATGAAGCGTACGTATAGTAGGCTACCTGTTTGCCGCGAGGGTCCAAAGGCCGTTCGATAAGCAATCAATTCTGTGGCAAACTGCCCATCTACATAGGACACCCCACCATGTAAGCACTACTGCTGTAGAAGACTGACATCATGGTAACAACAGCTGCTGTTTTCCATGGGCGGTGTGACACATGAAATGATTCGAGGCAAGCAAGATCAGCATGACGGGCTGGCTGGCTGACCACAGGCTTACAATCATACTTGCGACGCCCACTTGTAAGCAACAGCAGCAGCAGAGAACAGGCGGTCAGTTTCAGGTGCGAAACAGAACGTGCAGCAACAATACCACTGCTGTACCATCTCCCCCTTGTCTAGTACAAACACGCATGGCAGTACGCAGCAGTAGCAGTATGCATGGCACCACTGCACCGAGTACGATAGTCGTTGGCCAAGCCACCGACCGTGTATATTCCACCTTGCAATGCACTCTCTGAGCTCGAGTCGGGTTTCTCCATTCCCTCTGTTCGATCAGCCTACCCGTGTTTGTCGTATCTCTCTGCTAATGCCACCTCTCTCTCCCTTAGAAGG